CCCCAAAACCCCAAAACCCCAAAACCCCAAAACCCCAAGCACAAGAAAAATCATTGAAATGTAATTTTCAGAAAGAAAATTTCTGTATGCTGTGTCTTGTGTTTTGAAAAATCAAGAATAGTAAGGAGGTTTAAATATGATCCTAAATTTCAAAAACTAAGATTAAAAGTCTTTATGATCCAGAAGATAGGCTTAAAACGGTAGCAATTTTCAAAACCTAAAATTTTCATTAAGCCTTCGGTCTCATGGCTATGGTTCGTAAGTGGCCAAAAACTTTAATAGTTATTGAAAAAGTGACCTTTTCAAAATCTTTTTTTTCCTTGAATAGGCCTTGCTCACACTAGAAATCTTGGAGGTGAGTCCATCTGAGGAGGACAAATTAAGACCCTCATTCGTTAGTCTATAAAATTGGTTAGAGAAATTAAGTCTTTAGACTCAAGTATTTTATGATGTAGGCATGCTTTAGTGAAATATAAGACAATCCTTGGTTAATAACTGAGTTTTATCCTAAATTATTTATGCTCAAAATTCTTATTGCAAATTATAGGTAGACATTAATATTTATGAAACTATACCAAAGAAGTAACCATGAAAATTATGACCAGGCTAACTTCTATAACATGTTCTAAGTTAATTTGATGTGGAGAAGACTGGTTTGGCTTATTTGGGCTTGTATTTGCTCAATCATAAATCAATACTAGCTTTATACTTGGGGTATTTATTGCACCTTCAATAATGTTTCAAAATTATTAAACCCAAACAGCAACTTACTCTGCTTGTGATGGCTTCTGCTTAGGTAGAGCCCTTCTTTCAAAAAGATTCTCAATTTCGGAAAGTTGTCTCTCAACGATGTCTTCAGCTTGCTCAACTTTTCTCTTATTCAAGAAGCTGGCCAAGTTGACATTTGTGTTTTTAAAGTTGTTCTAAAAGAGTTTAGCCGAGTTCTTATTTTTGAATTATTTTAGTAAAATTCTAAGCTCTTGTTTTATGGTCTAGTTTCGTGTATATTTTGATAAACAGACCATAAAATAACGAAAGCCAAAGTTAAATTGAATTACTCGTGTGAAATCTATCAAATCACAATTATTAAAATAACCTTACCACTGTTCTCTTCCTTCCGTTCCTGCCTGTCCAAGTCAACTTCTAAATTCCCTTCACTAAAAACCCATACCTTGTCTTTGCCCGCCTGCTGCATTCTGGGTGACCGCTTTAATGTACAGATTCGAGATGGTGTCTGGGTGAGATCTAGTGGGGAGGATGGATGTAGGGTCTAGAGTGGAGTTGTACAATGTTTTTTGAAAATTAGGCTGATGAGTAGGTATTCAGGGGAGAGAATTTATACTCACCTCTATCGTTTGAAGGTTTTTCTACCAATTTCATGCCAATTATTGCAGCATTTTGAGGGGGCATATGGAGATCAGTTATCAAACCAGTCTTTGAAAGAGGTCGTTTTTGAGGATTTAGAGGTGGGGAAGAAACCATAGGATGTGTGCTTTTTCGATCAGCGTTCTCAGAGCTCCCAGTGATTAAATTTTGCCTCGTATTCACTATCCGTCTCCTTTTGTCACTTGATTGTTTCTTTGAAGGAATCTTTCTAGGAGCCAGTTTAGCTTCATTTAAAGTTTCATTAATAGTTCCTTTTGCCATACTTGCATCTTGGATGCTTTGCTTGCTCATTTTGTCATTTCTAAAATTAAATCTGCTTTATACCTTAAAAATGAACTTTGATTTGAGTGTTCATTTGTGATAAAATTCTACAATTAATGATTCACAATTACTTCTTTAACCGCGTTCACCATATTTGCATTAGAAGTAGATACACTATCATTAGCTGGACTACTGATAAAATTATTATATTCCTTTGGCTCTTGGGGTTGAGGATCGGCATACTCTGAGTCATCTTCATCTCTATATTTTTAGTTATACTTCCTTACTCTATGAAATTTCTTTGGTGATCATTACTTTCCCTATCTTGATCGACTTTTCTCTTCCTGTTCTTATAATAGACTTCTCTTGTCTTTCTATTTCTCATAATTGCTGCTGAACTGTCAACTTCTTGGTAATATTTGTGAGGCTCAAATTTTTCTTTGTCATATTCATTAATTTCATCTTCTTCACCAGGGGCTATTACTGAGCTAAATACAAGATTGGAGGTCCTGAACCCGTTTTTGTTATCAAAAATAACCCGGTTATTTAGCTAGTGAGATACTATTCATTGACATCTCCTTTTCTCTCTTTGCTCTAATAGTCGAGCGCTCTAAAGGGTTAGTCTAGAGTTGTACCTTTCTTTGGTTTTCTCTTAATAATAGATTCTATACTTAGAGTTTTTGCTTACGATCTTTAGACGTGTTATCATTGAGGTTTTGCTATAAATCATTAGAATTGACTAAAAATTTAGCTTACCCAACTATAGGTTTCATCTTTATTGACATATTCAGATTTCTCATCCTCGCTGCTCTCTGATTTAGAGTTCTAGAGATAAGTCTGCCTTGCTTACGTTCTGGTTGGAGTACCTAAATTCCATAAGATTTTTGGAATTGTAAACAATCAAACTGGCAGTGGATGAATTAAACCTTACCTTGACTTATTAACCTTCCTTGAAGCCCTATATAACTTCGATTTTAAACTATTTTATACAATTCTTGAGGCCTTAACAATGATTTTGAGAACACAAAATGTTAAGCAACAAAAATTGGTGAAGATTTGGATACATCTCTTTGATACCCTCCAAACAGTACCGAAACTCATAAGAATATTTGAATTTAAGAAACTAAAGAGCAAATAAGATAATGGAAATGAGAATATAATTGAATTAAATTCATAAAGGTAAGATGTTTCTCCACCTTAGAGTTGAATATTGCCTCATATCTGATTCTAAGCTTGAAGTTTCTAGAATTATGTCTAGCTCTTTAGTATTTTAGACAATGAACTTTAGGATTAAAAAATTAATAAAGGCATATGGGCTGCCGAATTTTCAAGTTTTTAGGAATTTTAAGAAAGATCATTTATATAAAGAAATTCATCGGCTTATTATAACTTGGGATGCATGCCACTCAAGCCAAGAATTGCGAGTACAAATGTTAAAATGAGAGGGCTTATAATGATACATACAAAATAATTTAACGCTTATTCTGGATTTATACCAGGAAACCCTTGTCTACTAAATATTGAAACATAGATTTGAGAAACAAATCGCTAACAAGTACCCTATATAAAGATTACTACATACAAATTACTTGATTTAGAATTCTTATTTTTATTTATTAGATTTCTGACTTTTTCTGAAACTTTTGGAACTTTGGCCTGAAACTTTACCCTCTTCATCATCCTCTATTCAGATTTGTTGAGAGTTAGATAAAGTAAATATACCTTCTTCTTCATTTTCTGGGTTAATATACATAAATTGTGATTGCATCTCTAGGAAAGTATGATTAAAAGCAAATCGAGTTACTTAAAAATATCATAAACTGCTTCATAAGAGGAAATTTCTTTTGAAAATCATTAATTTAAGAGTCTGAGCTTACCGTTGATATACATTACATTCTCATTTTCATCTATAAAATATTTTTATCCATAAATAAACCCATTCTTACCTTCGTCAAGTTTAGGAGATTTTCTGGTTCTCTTTTTGGGCCCATCATTGCCTGTAAATCATCATCATAATATGCTTCTATATGAAGTTATAGTCTATTATTTTTAATTCAACTAGAACAACATTAATTGTAGGAGAGCTAAACCTCAACATAGTTTAAAAAACTTGAAAACGCACATTCAACTGGAGCTTTTGTTCTTCTCAGCCATTATTATAAATTATACATTAGATTAACGATTGGGGTTTTGGGGTTTTGGGGTTTTGGGGTTTTGGGG